CCCCGCGGGGTAACTTAGAAACTACTTTCCCAGGGTGGTAGATGGCGGCGCTCGCTTTGCCGGCGACACAGCGTCCTCCCACGGACCATGTGGGAACCTTATACACTAGATAATCGCCTGCGAGGACGAATTCTTCAAGGCGTGATCTGACCGGTGGAGCGGAAGGTGGAGGTGTGAGATATCGGAGCGAGGACGGTCCCGCCAAGTGCTCAGCGTGGAGCGGAACAACGTTCATTGTCAAGACGTCTATCAGATTTTAATTTTCTTATCTAGAAATACTACTAGTTTTGTGTTTGAAAGTAATAGGAAGAGATAATCGATAGAAAACCAATGTTGAAATATTGGTTGAGACAGGAACTACAGAGAGCTGGACCAGGCTTCCTTTCACGAGTTGGATACGATGACGTGAGGGGAATCACGTGGACTGGTCGCGAGTGCCCAGTTCGCAGGTCACAAAACAATCTAATATAACAACCTGTGGACGCGGCTACTGAAAAAAACTTGCGAATTGCAAATTGTTTATGGAAAACTTAGTAAAAAAATCAGGTGACTGAATCACCGGAAGATCTCCAGCATTCGTAGTATGATGAGAAGTTCAAAACTGTGAAGGTGACCCCGTGGCTCATGTTGATGGATCCATAGATCTACTGCAAGCCGTACTTTGATGTATATGCTGAGGAGCTCCTGTGAAGTTTGAATGCCCCGCGAACTACTGTCAACAGCAAATCCGACAGTGAATAAACCCAAAATGGCCTTCCAGCAACCCCTCCCCCCGCGCCCCCACAACCACCAGTCTCCTAAAATGGTTGATGCAACGGGACCCAGTTGAGTATTCGAATAAATACAGTATCGGTCGACCTTATACTGCCACGCTTAAGAGTAACGAGTTTTACACCCCAAGTCTCTCAAATGAAAAATATGTAGTTCGCGATCATAGAGGCATTTCAACCCGGCCTAATAAATCTGGTTAATCCGTGAAATGCGGCTAGGATCCGTGGTCGTTGGACCATCACCGCACTAGCTCGCTTCGTGGACGATCAACGAAGACATCGTCAGCTCAATCGTGGCAGAAGATATCAAGTGTACCAGCCAAGAGCGTTCCACAACTTGGTGATAAAACCGACCGGTATATAAAGGGTGTTCGCAATGTTTGCAAAACCCCGCTCATTCCCCTTCTTCCAGCATCCTCCTCGTCTCCAGCTCCGCCTCCAGCTGGTCAATGGTAAGTGGCACGGGCCGGCCCTTCCATTTGTCTTGTTCAGCCTTTGCAAAACCCTCCATACTCCTCATCCCAACAACCAGAAAGCCCAACTCTTCCCTATCCACGTCGAAGACTTCCCACCATTCATCATCCACGAGTTTCACGCCCTTCTCCCTAGCTGCAAGATAGATAGCGGAAACTGCCAATGCATTTGGTTGGTGTGTTGAATATAGCAGCTGTGGGGAGAGTAACGCTGCATTTAAATGTTCAAAGACTCGCCTTGATAGTGCGGCGGAGGACGTTCCAAGGGTCTGTAGATAGGTAAGCGCAATAGTATGGGGCAGAGTGACATGCGTGTTGAAGGCGAGAGTGCGCAGAACGGTAGCCTCCATATTCATTAAAGCTAGTCGTCCTGCCTGGTAGCTCCCTTCCGAAACGTAATAGGTTTCCGGAATCGGCTTTCCGGAGGAGTTTTGCCGGTTGATAAAATCCAGTGGCGAAGCTTCTGGGGAGAGAAGAAACGCGTAAACATTGATGACTGAGCGTGGAGAAATTGGCGTAAACGAAAGTTTGGCCACAAGATAGAGCGATGCAGCAGATGCATCCTAGGTAGAAATCACAATTATGATTAGTTTCGTTAATTCACCCGACTCCTAAAAGGAACATTGCTATTTTTTCTCCTTCTGGGCGAAGGTGGGGACCACCAACCTTTGCAGAGTGAACAGCCAGGCTTCCTCCTTCAGGGCCAACCCAGAATCTCGTGAAAATCACAATAGCTTTGGCGATCACATCCTGCGGAAGCTGCAAAAGGACTCCAGCAGCTTGTGTAAGTCGAACAGCAGCATAACGAATGGATGTCTCCAAATCCGCAGGAATGGCGTCAAGGGAAGAGGATGAGGTCGCCAGTTGAGCAGAAGTCACAAGAGGGTTTGATAAATTGTCCAACAAAGCTGCTGGAGCCATTGCTATCGTGAAGTTATTTGCTGTCAATGCCGATGTCGTTCCTTCGATGGAGCTCGACCGCAGCAAGCGTATGCCCGTTTCGGGCTTAGGGCTGAATTTCCTGCTTGGGACATCGTCCGAAGGTTGAGGGCGCCAGGTAGCAACACAATACGGAGTACTCCGTACGGAGTGCGCAGCATACATATTCCCCCCAATGGAGGTCTGATGGAGGCGTCCGTATGACTCATGCTCTTATCCCTGGACGAATCCTCAAGTCCTAACCCTAACCCACCTTTAGCCCTGCTTGGGGTGGTGGGTGGGGGATGGCCGGTACAGTATTGCGAGCATTTTTAGAATGGTTCACCGTGGTCTCATTGCGCCGAGCCATGTTTGACTGCGTGCTGACTCTCTACTGAATATCAAACGGACAGAACAATGAGCAATCCGGAAAACCATGTTTTGCATCGGTTATTGTGGCAAGCAAGGAGTTAGGCACCTCGGCGGGCATGCGGATCCATTAATAGACAATTATCATATAGATTTATAATCAAATGAAATTTGCGAAGGCCGGCAACCAGATCTGAGTTTTCATCACTTCCTTGATTCCGAATCCCCGAATTCCGATAAAGCGAGAGAGCTCGTCCTTCAAATGGATGAATGATAATTAAAATATCCTGCTTTCCCCCTGATCTGGTGGTGACAGACTCGTGGGAAAATTGCCAGGTTGCCAGCCACCGAGGTATCCATCCCAGCCACTCTATTACCCACCAACAACTGCATCGGTATCAGAGAGGAAGAAACGGACAAGGAGGGGGAATAAGGATCTTCTTGTTCCTTCCATTTTATTCAACCTCAAAATATACTAAGTCAACTGCCGCCTATTTGCCGTGTTTTTCAAGCTCTTATCGTTATTATCAAGACTACCAGCCGCCGCCAATCATCATCATCCTTTCTTGGCGGCTTGACCACCGCTGATCGTTTTGGCGCCACAACACTCGCGAATTCTTCGAAACATCGACAAACCTGGCAAACCATCCAAGGAACTTGAGAAGGAGGAGAGTAACCCTGGCCATAGGAAAGCTGTGTGTCAGGTCGTCTCCCCCAACCTCGAGACCTCAACCTGCCTCGGAGAGCAGGTTGTGAACTTCGCCAGCTGTTTATATACTCGTTGAGCCAGAAAGCGCCGCCCAATCGAGTTCGACGGCTTTCGACCCAATACGTGGTGATTGCAGGTTGGCAAATAAACGCACAACTAGTCTCGGTTTTGAGGGGTTGCTAGAATCGTACACCAACATCTCACCGTTTCAACCAACCTCTATCCAATGCTCAACACCGAATCGAGACCAAGACATCCTTCTCCAATAGTCCGCAACCTGACGTTTGCCCACAGCCACTCTACGAGCCAACTTCCGAATGGCAAACGATCCATCTACTCAATGCACGGGGATAACACAAGTTCAATAGATGCTCCAACGGCTTCCAAGTTGGGTGCATCCTCCAAAACCACAACTTGTTCGAAGACACAAACAAATACGTACCCTCGCCCAATCCACCATCGAGCGAAAACCGAAATTCTTTCTTTCCCATCTACTAAACCCAGTCCTAATGGTGGCGTATACTTAGACCTTGAAGAGGTTAATCTGGAGCCTAGCATTCCAGAAAATCCTACGTCACCGCCGAAATTAAACCGCCAAAGGACACTATTCAAAGGTCTTTTCCAAGGGGGATCTGCTTTAGTTCCCTTTGGCCAAATACCTTCTTATAACGCTAAAGAAAAAAATACCTGCAACGCCGACAGGACCGACAAAACAACGCAAATGGCAGAACCACTCTCTTCGCAACCTCAAAGCAGATTCACAAAGAGGATAAGCATGCCTTCCCCACTTAGACAAATGAGCTCCACTTCTCGATTTTCGCTTTTTGGCTCCAAAACTCAGGACTCGAAACAAAATCAACTACCTGACCCTGCAGTCGATGAGTTTCTGAATCTCGATGCCAGCTCCGAGCTTTTCCCGGATGGCTCAACCGATCTTCCAACACCTGAAGCCTTCAAAAGTCTCCAGCATAACGCAGAGCGTACAATTAGGCGACTCCAGTCTGCATATAAATCACGAACGTTCGCACTTCACCAAACACTAGCAGAAAAATCGTCGCTAGGAGAAGAGCTACAAGAGACGCATTCACGTCTACGTAATATCAAAAATCAACTGGACGGGATGGCAGAAAGAGTACACGAACAGGACAAAGCTATGAAAGCGATGGCAGAGGAACTTAAACTGGAGCGCCAAATGCGCCAAGAGGAAGAGGAAGCACGACAACGAAATATCATTCTTGACACGGAGTCCGAACCGTCACAGGATCACAACAGTGACCACAGCTGCAATTGCACCATCAGAGAAAGAGCCAGAGACGGCTTAGAAGTCAAGTCTATAAATCGTCATAACAAACGCTCTAGCGGGGTCACGTTCTCCAGCGACTCAGGCTTCGAATCCAGCGACGAGAGCATCGCTGAAAGTATATTTTCACGAAAATATGACAATCCGGATTCACCCTCGACATTAGCGACGAGGGCCTCCGGCACCTCATCGCCAGATATTAGCGTTTCTGTTGGGACGCAACCTCCAGTGCCATCCAAATCGCCAAAACCCGCGCCAAAACCATCCGCTTATGACAGAATGCTCAGGAGTATCTCGTCAGCAAACCTTGGGGTTTCTCTTATGGGTTCGAGCGCGTTTTCTACATCCAAGTGCTCCAACTGCCACGGCGCCACCGCGTCAGATGCGTGGGGTGTGGTTTCCGTGCTTCAGGAGGAAAACCGGGGGCTCAAAAATAGGATTGAGGAATTGGAGGTTGCGATTGATGAGTGTATTACGCTCGTTGGGGGTTGACATATAAAAAGTGAACGCTCACTTATGGTGCTGATAATTTTATTAATCATTTTTCACTTTTTCTTTATCGGCAGGGATATAGACTGATTGGAATTGGCGATGACATGGCAACATGTGTCGGGTAGTACATATAATATATTATTTATATGAGAAAAAGATTGGATGAGATTTATACGGTGATTTTTCACTCTCTTGGACCTTTTGATAACTGGGTTTTATGGTTATTATTTATTTTCTAATAAACCCTTCAACTCTTTCTTTATTCCAAGTGTCAAATCCCTTATGCTGCAGGCAGCAAGGATTGGATTGGGGGGTGACTCTAATATCAAGAATCTTTCTCTACATTCTCTTATTTTCCATTGTTTAATAGAAAATAAAATTGATTAATCGCCTTCCTCGCCTTTATTTCAAAGACCCCTATTTTCCCCCTTGAATTTCCCATTTCCACTGGTAAGATCATTCATTCGCAAACGTAAGCCGTACAATTCCTAGCTTCCCGACGCCTATGACCCACATTCCCATCATTCATAGCAAGGTTGTGCTTAAAACACCTCCGAAAAGAAAAACAACTAGTTAAGCATAAAAAATACAAAATAACACAATAGAAACCTTTACGCCACAGCCTACCGCCACCCCCTCCTTGTGTCAATTTCAATCCCCCTCTCCAATACCAAAATCCCGTTGCACTTCTACCTGTCTCACGCCCCTCGCCTCCGCAATCAATCCCATCAAGCCCTGCCCAATATCCTTGATCTCGTTGTACTCATGCAAGAGACGGATATGTCGCTGGACAATGGCAGCAGCGTCCTTTCGCACTGGTGTATTTAAGTCTGCGCCTTCGGTATTTGGAGGACTAGTTTGGGTTAGTTGTTCGGGTGTGTTATGTAGGATTAGTTGACGGGTAGGTGGAGTTTAAAAGAGAAAAACTGAGAGTAGGGTTTGGGAACAAAAGACTGCAATACACACTTTAGTTTGTTCTGAGCTTTTGAGAGGAGATCTTCCGTTTTTGATATTTCGGAGTGGAGTGTAGAGATTTTGGAGGTGAGAGTTTTCTGGAGAGTGGGGGCTATCAGAAAATGGTTTGATAGGGGGTGTATTATTTAGCATAGCTGAAAGTAATAATGCAGAGTACTGACAATTATCTTTTCATGCTTTTCACCGAACCGAGGGGCACTCCCTAGGCTGGTGTGGTTAGGATCAGATCTGTCTAGCGCAGTTGCTTGTGATGCTGTCGATTGTAGGCTTGTGGCATCCTGCTTGGTGCTTTTCATTGCAGAATCGTTCGGGGGTTGAGCCATTGCTCGTTTTGGCCTACCCGATCCAAGGTATTTTCTTCTGTTTTGCTGTATTCGAAATTTTGTGTCCTTTTCTGTTGGATTTCAGAACACAGATCCGAAAAATCGTGTTCAGACGAGCCTGAACTTCATATTGGAGTGGGGGGTATTTAGTCTCAATTTTTAGAATGGAATTCGACATGGCATTTTGTAGTGAGTGGGCGCTTGAACAAAACATTTATATTTTCAGAACAGCTCAGATGGCCGTACATACATGGAAGTAGGTATCGCGATTTGCTCATGTTCTCCATTCATCGAATAAGCAGAGCTCGCGAATAAAGGGATAGTGAACCAATTCAAATCCTGGAGAATATGGTGATACATCTCATATTTTGTGATGCCCGGATCGATTATGAGAGAGAACCCTTGAACACAAGTGACAAAGCTGTGGTAGCGCCGTTCAAGTCTGTGAGATGCAGTCTCTTCTACGACCAGAATATCAAATTTGATATTTCGGGCCCGATCTCATGAAATGAAATTCTCAGCGCCAATTTGTAGACGAACCCCAACTTGAATCCAATCTAATCCGATCCAAGGAGGGTGTAATCACGTGTCACTCCGCCGCAAACCGTGAAAAGGAGAATTCGCTACGGATACCTCAATCTTCAACAAGATCTCGAGGACTCCACGATGCCGGACACCGGTTTAATTCGCACCTAAATCCCCGGGGACACCGCAATGAGGATTCCTCCTCACTTCTATTTCTTTCTGTGACTACATCGGCGGAGGAATGACAAGCCTTTATGCGCTAATTTCAAATAAACTACCTTATTCCTCCCGCCGATCGGCTTTCATCGCCGTCTTTCATACGTTGATTTAGATCTGTCGCAGATCGTCATTCTTATCGACAATGTCGAGATTAAGTGTTTCAGCGCCAGTCCTGCTCTGGTGCTTCGCGAGACATGCGCTTGCTCATGGAGACCATTCTCAGCTTTCGGATGGCCAGGTCATATCAGGGGATCCGATCGTACGTTGGCGGAACCCAGTTACCTGTATCCAGCTATAGTTAGTAGTTTTGTTCTAACCAACGATGCATCGTCCCCAGGATTCGATATTATGGGTACACATCATCCTAATGACCGTTGCGTTCGGCCTTATTTTCCCCGCTGGTATGGTGCTGGGTGTGAGTTCTCCAATTTTCTCCGCAATACGACGCAGTGGGATCTAACAGTACTTTCTTTCTTAGATCACTCGGTCCCGCTGGCATGTTCCCGTTCAGATAGTTGGTAGTGTGATTGCGTTTGTGGCGTACTTTATGGGCCATTTACACAAGGGACGGCAGTTTTCCGAAAATATCCATGCTTCATTCGCGAATTCGTTAATGCTCATGCTTGCGGTGCAAATTGTCCTAGGAATTTATCTTAAACTTCACTTATCGCAGGGTATCCATGGCAGAATACGGCCATATATCGTTGGGAGTCATGGCGTGGTGGGCAAAGTGATGCCGGTGGTGAGCTGGGTGCAGATGATATTCGGTGGGATAACAGCTCTAGGATTCTGTCGTGAAGACCACCTTGGACAATGCCTTGCGCATTTCATAATGGGCAGTGCGTTTATCGCGTACGGAATACTTCTAACAATTCTTCTCCTTGTCGGCCAATATTGGCTTCGCCGAACTGGCCGGAGCCAAGAGTTCTTTGATTCCCTGGCTATTGCGATTTGGGGATGCATAAACACCTTTACTGAGCATCGTTGGGGGCAACCCTGGGCTCACAACGATGTCGAGCACACAAGCATGGGTATTATTTGGTGGTCTGCTGGATTGGTTGGCATTTGGTTGAGCAGGAAGAGAAATGGCCAGCCGAAAAGAAATTTGATCCCCGCCGTTGTGATTCTGCTCACAGGATATGCCATGTCTTCCCACTCGCAACACCTGCCGATTAGCACCATGGTTCACGCTTTTTTCGGCTATACGCTAATGGGCGCAGGGGCGGCGAGAATTGTAGAAATTTCCTTTGTGTTAAAGGACCGGAGCACCCTTAGCCCAGATGGAACTGATCCTAATAGCTTCCAATATATCACGCCATTTGTAAGTACTTCTAACGTTGACATGGAACCGCACTGAGCTCAGTGGAAGCTAACAATTTGTAGCTGCTATATGCATCCGGCTTCCTGTTCATGGGCGCCACAGAGGAACAATTGGCGCTCATCTCTAAGGCGGGCGTTTCTCACGTCGCCTATGTCCTTATCCTCTACAGCATCGCATTCGTCCTATTCTTGTGTAAGTTAACACTCATTCACTTTCATTCATAAAATTTGTACATTCAACTTATCCGGATTGTTAGTTGTCAACATCCTCATCCACGTGTATGCTGTCCATGCCTGGCCCGAAACTGCCAAATATAACGGCGGCAAGCCTTCATCATATTCTCGGCGGCTATCTGACCGCCGTTCCACCTCCTTGCATAATGGTAGTATCCCCATGGGAATGAATAGCCATATTCGTCGCCAGGGTCAAACCCAACATGTTCACGATGCAGAGGAATTTGAGCTAGAAGGCCTTATAGGCGCGGCTGACAAAGAACGGGGTGACGATAGTCCCATCAACACCCCGATTGCTACCGCCGCCAAAGACCCAGAACGGGCACTATAAACAGAAGGAAAATTTTGTTTTAGCCGCTTGCAAAATGCTAATTCCCCGCCCCCATTACCGACCAAACAAATACGATTTGAAGATGCCGTGACGTCTACTCGAATTTTGCAGTGTCGACTCTACCCGGCTGGTTTTTGCAGTAAATAAATGACCATTCTTGATTCTGTTTCTTTACCTATTCTAGGAGTTATACATATTTGGACCTACCTTTGATATATATGTATATATTTAAATTTCTCATTTAGATGGTCAGGAGATGAAGGATTGGAAGGATCTATGTGACTCCACCCTGCAACAGCATACCGAGCTGATTGACTCTACCGTCCCAGCCATGGTGCACCTGCTGAAATGGAATTAACGAACCATGGGTGTGGCGGCTAGTACCCACATAACCACTGGTACCTACATTTTATCATCCTTTTATGTTTCCCATCTAAGCGATTGTTTTTTGTATGTACATCACTTGCCATACTTTCTCTACCTTTTGTGGGGCATAATTTTGAAGGAAATTAAATTCAAGTGTTCTCTACTCTTTGTTTACGAATTTGTATTATATATTGATCCTGTCTTTCATATTTTTCATTAATATCATTAGGCATGCTATGGAGAGGGAATGTGCGGGATATTATTCCCATAAATACAAGAATTTTTTTACGTTGTTTCCTTGTTGAAATAAATATCAACCTTCCGAAAAATACTTTCTAAAGCCTATGTTTTGAGAAACCTATCAGGTCCAAGGAACAAAGAAGGGCTGAACACCTGTCACCATCCATGTTCTGTTTATTCTAGTTCCGGCTTCTGTTTTCTTTGAACGGGGTTATCCGCCCTCCATCCTTTGTTTATCCCTTTCGCGTTTGTCAACAGGCTAACACACAACCGATTTCCTTTCCCCTGCAAATAAAAAAAAAGCAAAAACAAAAATCACATAATAATCCTTCCTCAACCACCGAAACTCCAAGGGGACTGTTCCGTATTTCCGCAAGAGAAAGTAGAGAATTGAGAAATAGGAAACATAAGTCATCTAAACGACATCACAGATCATGATAAAAGGGTATATTTTGAGTTATTTCGCAACAGTCTGCTCAATATGTATCCCATTGTTACCTGGAATAGAGAAATAAATCCTTCGTGAAACTCCATATGGTAAAACACACACGCCGTCTTCTTTAATCGAAATTTGCAGCAAAAAGAGGACCTTTAAAAACAATCGACTGGGTATGTATGTAAAATCGGGTTCCGACATTTGTAATATGGCAAAAAACCAAGAGAGCAACAAAGGCCTTTAGTCCAGAAACTGAATTGGGAGAAAAATCTTAGGTCTTCTGCAAAGAAAATCTCATCTGAGTCTCGTCTCAAGATCGATTCTAGAACGGAGTCGGTACAAAACTGATTCATTCCTCAGGGAAAATAGGATGAAGCGAGTAAATAGGTGCAACGCTCCGTTCGCCATCGAACAATAATAGATTTTGCAGTGGTTGCTCCCTTGCACCTAACACGTTGATGACATCTTGGGCAAGTGATCCACCCAAAAATGCCGATACGGGGCTCAATTCGCAGCCTAGGTTGTCAAGAAAGCTTCGTATGAATTCCGCAGTGAGAGTGGATATGTCCAGGCGTAGTTCCAAATGGCGATCATTGGCGAGTCGAATAAATGTCTCCAAATCATCCTTTGTAGGCAGACTCCCATCTTTCTCTCGCTGAAATTCCCACAGAGCACGTAGACAGGTTAGAAGGGGCGTTACCTGCAAGCGCTTGCGTCGGACTTTGGTAAATTCCTGAGGCAGAGGAGAGGTATTGGAAAGCATAAGTGGGCAGTAGACTTCGCGCTTTGTTATCATTTCAATCGTCTTGTCGTTTTCCCTTTTGGTTTTCACGTCTAGAACGGTCCTAGTGGGCGTCTCGATGGGTGTAGAAACGACGTTCGATTTTTCTCGCTCGATCACGAAATCGTGGCTGATCAGATCTGAGAAGATGTAGCCGTAAAAGCCATGGACTCCTGCAGCATAGAAACGACGATTGGCTACTCTACAGGCATTGTTCATCCAGCAGATTGTGTCATAGTCAAGATCTGTTGCAATAGTAACATCATACGACGCAAAGAATGCTGGAGGTTTTGATCTAATATCAATTGCTTCAACAAGAACTTGAACCCTTGGGTTCATCTGCAAAATTTGGGCGGCTGCAGCTTCTGCTCGCTAATCATACGTATTAGCTCAAATTTCCTATCCGTAAGGTATTCACTGGAGCATGAAGACCAACATTTTGGTTGATATGTTCATCTGATAGGAAAAATTGAGCATCAATATCTCCTTGTTTGACGACCGCATTATCTATAATAGTGAGAGATCCGATTCCGGCTAGCACAAGGTTTTTGGCAATTTCTGCCCCAAGTGACCTGAGGGTCACCAGAAGGATTTTCGCGGTTCGGAGTCTGGCCCGATTTTCCCAGGTCAGAACTTATTATACAAGGAACGGGAAATAAACGCACTTTTCCTGTGCCTTGACGCCCCAGAGCCGAATTTGGCGGTCATAGAGGCAATCTCATCTGGGAGTTGTTGTTAGCAAGAATGCTGCTGAA